ATACATGAATGATACATGAATGAATCCACAAATAAATATTATCACGCAATGCCCAGCTGCGGTAAGATAGCTTCCCTGAAAAACGGGGTTAGGGTTGCCAGAAATGGGCACGGAAATTAATGATTGCTAGATTTGGCTCGAAATCGCCCATTTGGCGACAGCATTGGCGATATGCCATAGACGAAACGAGAACATTCTAAAACGCATTCTCAGCGGTTTTCCGCGGGAATGTTCTCAAAAGTAGGTTCAAACTATACATACTTTGCCTGTATGCGGAAACAGCATTATTTTGAGTTCAGTAGTAGTGTTTTGAGCTCACAGGTTAGCTTGACCGAACCGAGTTGGGAACTGTACTTTAGTGCCTTGCTGTGAAGCTGTCTTCACTGTTGTAACCTTAGTTCGGATAGTTCGGATTCACAAATCAATTAGTACTTACAAATCACAAAATTTTTAACAGTACCTTTTTTTTCTAGAATTCTCATAAAGTGTTAAGTTCTGTCATATATTTTGTTCGCCTTTTTTCAGTTCATGATGTCAATGTTCAGTTTTCTTAATTAAGCGGGCAATTTCTTTGCTCGTCTTTTTAGGTTTATTAATTAAACATCACATTCTGCACACTTATGCCACACAAAATTTAACAACAACAAAAAAGAGTTCAAAATCTTTAAACGCATCACATCTTTAGAATTTCTAATAAGGTGTTAAAAGTTTCCTTACAGTTTTTTATGTGTGCGTGCGTGATTATGGCAAAGCCTCGAGGGCTATCTGCCTAAGGGGAGGGATGCCTTCGTGGAGAACTTTTTAAGGGACACTGGCTCGTATACACGTTACAAATGGGGAAAACCACGAAAACGCCCATGCAACCAGCCCGTTCGCGGGATTCGAACCTCGGACCGAACTACCAGTGTTCAGCGACTTTACCGCTCGGCCGCTGGTGGGCCCCTACAGTTTTTTAAATTTTGCTATAGTTTTTCTCTAAAAATAATACGCAGCGATAACATTTGATGGCATCAACGTTTTATTAGAGAAGCTATTCCAAACAAGAGTAAAACGCACACAATTAAAGATTGAAGATTGAAGCAAATCCATTTATTTGTTTTTTTGTATATAATTTTGTTAGTCCAAAGGGGCTTTGTTTCTGAAGGACTATTGTTTTCGTTTTGCGATTTTGCGTTGAAAACTTTAAAAGGCTGTATCACTTTTCAAATCGTTGCCACCAAATGCTTAGAGGAAATATAACATTATATTTTAAAGAAATTAAATAATGAAGAATCTGTCATGAATGTATGTATGTTTCTCGCATTGTGATAAAATCAACGGTACCTAGAGCCATCCAAATTTTGAATGAACGTAATCCTACTCATTCGAATATGGGCATCTGGAAAGCCCAAATTTGGAATTTATTTTATTATCGATTTCAAATTTTGAAAAGCTTTAAAGAATTTTTGATTAACAAACTCAAAGATTTCAAAACCAGCAATGGCAACGTTGTACAGAAAAACCATTTTTATCTCCAGTGCGTGAGACTGTGTATCGGAAATTCTAAAGATATGCTCAATTTTAAAATTATTTTGCGATATTGCTCTTGAACTGAATTTTATGGTTTAAGTGCGAAGAACATGATATTTAATAAATGAAGGTAACACACAAAATGTTAAAAAAAAAACGCCGCTTTGGACATAATGTAAAATCAGAAACCTTTCAGATTTTTATTATTAATTTTATTGTCTTATTAGCTTATATTTTTTTCTCCATCCCAAATAATAAATGTCAAAATACCCTAAAAGCACAGAGTAACATAAAACTTTCTGTGAATAATGTTAAGAGTCTAACACGATGTACGAATTTATGCACCATGTAATATTTTATATAACTTAACAGTGTGTAACCAATAATTCTTGGTTTCAATAAATGTGGTTGCTTTTTTCCTTGGGATGAGATTAACACGCACCCCAGCCTTAGGTGGAATGTCGTCTCGGCAAGGAAGAAGTACTGTTAACTGCTTCATAACAAGACCTCATCTTCATAATGAGTTTATTCTCCTTGCATTTTGTATTATTCTAGGAATAAAGTTAATGCATATAAATGTAATATGTTGTTCTCAATTCCATACATGTTTTAAATACCAAAACTTACAGGTTTTGGATTATCTCATAATATGTGTTTTCATAGAAGTCTGTTCAGAGCTTAAAGTATCGCTTTTGGTTTATCAGTTTAAGCCTAAATATATATGTTGTCCCAATCCATATAAAAAATAAATTTCGGATTATATTTTAATATTTGTTTTCGTTAAAATCTGTTATGGTGTTCAGGTAAAATACAACTTCCGGTTAAATTTTTTTAAGCCGGCACTTAAACAATTAATGTTATGAGTTTCGAGCAAAGTACCACTTCCGGTTATCCAGTTTTGTCCAAAATCTAATAATTTATTTGCATACATGCAGAAAACTTAAAAGCGGAAAACAGAAATTTTTGGAAGTTTCATATATGATTTATCGTGGATGAAAAAATCGTCAAACACATACACACAGACATTCAGATACCATTGTAACAATTGTCAAACTCATTTTGTGTTCTTGCTTATTCACTAAATACTCACTATTAAATTTATGGGCCGAAAACATTACCTCCCTATGTACACAGGTTGGTGGGAAATAAAAATGAAGAAAATTAATAAATACAACAAAAAACACGGCGTAAATTAAATTAGATTAGCACACTTAAAGTAAAAAGTTAAATTCCTTCAAAAAATATAATTCTGTACTACTAAATAAAACTATGCAGAAGAAATTATTCATTTAAAATTATTATAGAGATTCGGTGATCACAAGATATCATGCTCTTTGTAAAGGATCAATTGGTGAACTGAATGGGCTGTTGACGTCGGCTTACGCTTTCCTAATGTTTAGTGATACATAACCATATAATATGTTGCTTTAGAAATAATCTAGTAACAGAAGTAATAAGTAACTGCCTTAACTAAGTGAAGCTGCAGACTTAACTTTTTATACATCTTGCACAAAAGTCTTTACTCGGCCTTCATTTTTGCAACCGCTAGTCGTACACATAATACTTCCAATTACAAAAACGGAATTGAAGCATTCAGTTTTTATTTGCGTCAATTAATAATTGACGCAAATATTATTATATACCGTAAGTATTTAGCATTTTAAAATTTAAAGAAATCAGTTTTGTAAAAAATACGGAATCTGGATTTTTATACGTTCCTTCGGTCCCTATACTTATATTTAATAAACTTTTGTACTTATACAAAATAAAACACAAAACCTGTGGATCCCTTAAAAAAAAAAAAAAAAAAAAAGGACCGAGCTATTTGATATTAGAGTCGGAGATCGCATTTAGGGGCCGTTTATAAACTGAAGAGCGTAATGTTTGCATTAGTGCTGTAATGTCTGATAAATCCCTATTCGAGGGAAAAAGCTTGTACAACTCCCTCTGGCGACTGATTGCCGCAGGAGAGGAGTGAGTTAGGGCAAAAAATATGTATTGGAATACGTTCTTTGGTTAGGGTTTGGACAAAGCCGGGGAGGTAGCTACACGATTATCGCAGGCGTGCACTCACCGTATGTTTTGATAGAACTACACGATAGTATGCAGGCGTGTACTTCACCAACTGACTTTAACTAATGTTAATCATATGTAAATATCTTGTAACCTAATTAATTACCTCTTATATATAAATAAAATAATGTGTGAAGAAAGTTCCATTATTAATTTACAACCACGGATGACAGCAATGTAAAGAACCAACACGACAAGTGCCTAACTGAAAATTAAATACTAGTTTAGAAAAAGGTTCCTGATACTAAGAGATTACGTTATGAACAATTCTATGCAGATTACTGAGAAAAATATTGCTCAATATATTTTTTTTCAAAACGGAAATCTTATTCTAAAAAATCTTATAGAATTCGTATTCTAGAAAACACTGGCATGCTTTAGTACTGCCATGTAGACACATACCACGTAGCCAACTAACATTATTTGAATTAAATTAGAATTTTAAAATATTTTCATTTTAATGAATTTTTTACCATTAGCACATTGTGATTCTAAATTTTACGTGGTGATTCCAAATTTTACGAGAATATAAATAACGCATTTTTACACGATGAAAACTTACACGTGTGAAAATTCTTTCAACATACCGAGGACATATAACGCAACAATATTAAAAATTAAAGACACTAAGAAATCACGAAAAAACATATTACAGAATGGCATTTAAGGGCTAAAAAACCAATCTGGGATTATCCTAATTTATTTATTAACCGACCCCTAAAAAATTGAAAATGACGGTAAAAACCGTTATTTTCAATTATATCACTGTGAATTAAATATCTCTGTAAACTTTTGAAATTAAATACTCCTGTCAACGTTTTGCGTTTTATTTTTTTATATCGAGTACAAAAGTTTCTTAAATATATGTATAGGAACCGGAAGAATGTATACAAAGCTGGATTTCATAATTTTTTTACAAAACATACTTCTTTAAATTTAAAAATGCCAAAACATGAATACATGAGCCATTTAAAACATTTCTGTAACAGGAAGCGTATGTCTACAGGCAACGGTTGCGAAAATAAAGGCCTGGTAAGGACTTTTGGGAATATGGTGTACTAATGGACTTTACACTAATGGACTTAATATCAAGATATGGTAGCATTAAAAAATGAAAGTTTTATATTTATCGTAATTGTAATTAGAAATCCTTTCGGGTTTATTTTAAATATTATATTTTTGTTTTATACAATAAATTTTCTATTCTAATCCTGATTTTTATCCATACTGTACAACGCAGTCCGCTAAATACGTATCTTCGTCATCGATTATCTGTATAGAAATCTGTTTTAGAAATGCATTAAAATAGTTTCGGTTAACAATTTGATAAAGGATAATTTAAGTTAACAAAGAGTTTAATATATGAATGAATTTAATGCAATTTTACAATATGTTTGAAGGAAGAAAATTTCTCTTACCTGATATTATTAAAACTCAAATCTAAACGTCTTGTTTGACTACCATAGATTTTTCCTAAAATGCTAGGAATGGCAAAACAGTCTTGGCCAATATAGGAAAGCTAAAACAAATGAATAAATATATAAATACTGGTTAGGAATTGCATTAATACAATATACATATTATATAAGAAGTATTTAATGAGCTATAATGAGACATCTAATAATTTGTTAATATTTGTGTAAACCTTCTGTGCATTGGCTCAACAATTAGAACAGTAAAGTTGAAAACATTTGGACACATGCCGTAAATAAGCTATACTTTTCTTTCCACGTTAGACTAAACAATAATATAATCGCCACAGAAAATATTTTTAGCTATTCTAATGCATTCAGAAATTCTGTTTAAGATTACAAAGACAGAAATCCTGTATCAGCATGCAATGTTTTGTAACTGAACTTTGCATTTGTGCTATTGCACTATGCCAGAGATTATTTTGGCTGTCTTTCTCAATTCCGACTTACACTGTTTCCGGGTTAGATTGGCTTAAATTACTTTCAGCCGAAACATAATTTATAAAAAATTTTGTTTGAGACATTGGCGTACAGAGTAAAAAGTTGGAATCTTAGAAAAAGGCATAAAAATGTATAATTTCCATCACAGACAGCAAGAGTTAACTTTAAAACAATTATTTTCCAAGTCCATACACTGAAATAACATTAATTCGCTACTTGAAGTTTCTGAGATACCAACACATTCCTGAAGAACGGTGATTGTTCATATAGTTCTAAAAAAGCAGATCTAATTTTAAAAATGAGTACACACACGACAGTGCCAACTGCTTGAGTGAAGCTTTATATGTAAAAATATTAAACTTTTGTTCAGAAATATCAATACAAGAAACGCTTATGGTATGCCCATTGCGATTTTGGACTAAGTTTTAAACATGCAAATCCCCTCCGTTCCGTTATTTACGGATAGGAGAAGTATTGCAAGGGACGATGTCCACGATTAATTCAATATTGCAGTTAATCCAAAAGCGGTTAAAAAATTTGCACAGACGAATAACATGTACTATGCTATTGGAACCTCACAATCAAGAATAATTTGGTTCACGAACTAATTATATGAACACAAGACGCCTCGGATGACGAAGGGCGTGTCGAGTTATGAACACTCAAGTTGGTAACATATGAGTTCTATGGAGTTTTGAGATAACTTATGGCAATAATTAATACTCAGGGATTTCTGTCACGAATTCTGCCTGGAGGAATTATGGCCACCTTGGAATGCAGGCAGGATGTTTTTTGTTAAGTTGATATTAGTTTTTTGAGCAAAAATAGGGGCTCAGAAGTTAACAGTGAAGACGCAGAGAAGTTATTAGAGATCATAAAACGAACTCAAGATGAAAGAACTACAGCAACTTTTGAAGCAACAACAAAGCGTGATTTTGGAAGGAATCTCCCTTTCATGAAGAAAGAAAAATGACGCTAGTCCTCTGATCAGCGAAATTTGTGCAAAATGGTATAAGATGCAAAGTTTTTCAAGTAAACATTTCATCCTGATAAAAGCTGTGGCAAGGTACAGTCAAGCATTTTCAAAGACAATGTCGCGTCCATTTCAGAAACATTTTAAAATATAAGAACAAATCATAATAGGCAAATTTTGAGTAAAACACATGCTAAGTGAGTCTCAAGCAGAGCTGAGCTGAACTTACATACAAACATAAGGTTAAAAAAAAGATGCCTCGTAAACACAACTACTTGATTTTTTTTATGGAATGGAAATTATGCCATCCAAACAATAACATCTACGTCATCACTTTTCACTTACGCCGTCCACTCTCTTTTGTACAGATACAGTAAAATTAAGCTTTCAAATATTTTACCTGTTTAATATTGTGTTTATCTTTTTGGTTTTATAGTTAACGATTTTCATTGGTGCTGAATTGGTGCACAAAGTACTATTGTAAAGTTTAAACTAAAAAGTCATCTGTGGTACAGAAAAGAATTAATCCATTTTACATTAATTCCTACGGGGAAAGAACTATTCCGGTTTACGAACATTTCGGTTGAGGAATAGCCTATCGGAACAAATTAAATTCGTGAACCGAGCTTTCACCGTACCTGTATTTTCAAGCTGTTTAATCTGGCGAATAAGTTCATTTGGTTATATAAGTTAAATCAATATTCATAATAAAAATACACACTGTAAATAATGGAAGAATAAACTCTACTTCGACGAAAGACCTGGAAAAATGAGTCACTATACAGTATGAATGAGGTTAGATGGGTCTTTTCATGGCTTTTCCTACTTGTCATGTGAATAAAAGATTTCTTTATAAAAATCCTCCAAAAAGCATAACTCTCACGCGCTCTTCACCATAATTAAACAAAAAAAACAAATGAATGGGTTTCAATACTTACGTCTACACCAAGCACAACATTCTTCTTCGCCCAGTATGTCATAACACAAACATGAGAATACTTCTTATCAGTTAGCAGGTCTGTCACACTAGATGTCAAACTTTTAACACTATTTGAATCTTCAGATCCACTGAAGTCCCCACTAACGCAATCAGACATTCTGACTTAAACTAATGCATAGAATACTTCCACCGTAAATGTAAACATTCTAAAAGTCAAACACGGAATCCACCTGCGCCAAGTTTTGTTTAGCGGACTATTTGTATTCTGGCGTAGTTGTCAAAGGATTTTTAACAATAATATATTCCGCCTTTTTATTTATTCTTCTCGTTTTTCTCTCTTGTTTCTTTTTTGCTTTCGTCCTCGAGGGTTATATAACAGAAATTCGAGCATGTGGCAAACAGGTTTCAAATGAGATGCTTCTAGGTAGTCTTTTTTTTTTTTTTTTTTTTTTTTTTTTTTTTTTTTTTTTAACGTTCTTCTCTTGTATTGCTCCCTTGAAATGCATAAAATTTGAAAGAGGAGAAGTTTATTTGTTGCTGTATATTAATGAAATATGTCGAATACAGAAGATAAGAAGAAAATTTATCCTTCATTAAATGCAATAACAATATTACAGTTTTTTAGCAGTGAATGCAGAAAAATGCGAAACTAAAAAATTATGCAATTCATTTTCTTATTTTTAAAATTACAGATGAAAACGAACGATTAAACGGTTTCAGAAAGATTTCTTCAAATACACCGAACGTTAAGCAAATTTTACCGTAACAGAGTTTTACGATGACATGTTTTCATAGCAACAGAAACAACATTAAATAGGACTTGTCCTTTAGAACAGATAATCAGTTTGCTTTGTTTGTGTAAGAAAGTAAAATAGTAATTTTAAAATTAATTGATGACGTAGAAAGTTCAAGTATTTTTCTATGAATGAAATTTCATAGTAGCAATCATAGGAAATATTTTTTTGTTAAAACAGATACACAATCGAATCCCGCTATAACGAACTTCAAGGTATCTAAACTTTGATCCGCTATATACGATTTGATGAGTAAAAATAGACCATAACACAAAATTGTGTAAAAATTTATTGATGAATCGTACAGAAAGAGTGATTAGTACTGACAAAGCTCCCAAAAGATATTAATAGTAAATTTAATTTTAAAAAACATAATAAAAGTTAGTTACAGTTATTATTACGTACAATCACTAAATTTCTTATTCGTAGTATTACGTTTCACCGTACGTCAATAATTTTACACAAAAGTTTACTTAGCATTAAAGTCATGGTTTAAATCCTCTCACTCCAGTTACACATTTCCAACTATAATACACATTTACAATTATGAATAAGTTTCAGCCTTTAATAAAGTGCTGTCTGACAGCTCAGTCAACGAACTTGAATGGAATCAAAGAATCTAAACAAGATGAATTTAAGGATTAGCAATTTTTCAATTGAAAATTGCAGAAATTCTGAAAAAAGGTTTAAAATACAAAATTTTCAGCCTAAGATGTCCAAAAAGTTCCAGTTTTATACATTTGGAAGTTTACTACAACCGTATAAAATAAATTCGTACCTTTTATCCGGGGATTCGTCATAAACAGGGCTCTCTGTAGTGGGGTTTAATTGTATAGAAACCGAATTACTACTTTGCTATATTATTACTAAAAGGAATTAACATAACCTTATTTACAACATCTAATTTTCATTGAAAAACTGTAATTTACTGTGATTCACTGTATAATATAAATTAGGAAAATTTTAATCAATTCTGCTTCAAACTTATCCATAATTTCATTAAAAAATGAAGAAATATCTTTTCAGTAAGACTTCAGATATTTCTATTCAAAATATTCCTATAAAATCATTTATTGATATTTTTCAACTAGATAGGTAAAACATTAAAAAATTTCTCTGGATATAACAAAGACAATATGTGTTGAAATCTTTGAGTCACATATTTAATATTCCTGGCTTACAAGAATTTCCCACGTGCTTCGATATTATTTACCCAGACAGCTTTATTTATTTAGTTATGTAAATAGTCCAGAAAAATAAGCAAGGACTGTCTGCGACGAACAGACATGCTTTCCTTGGAGACTTTCTAAGGAAACTTTCTTTTTATTATGTCTTTAAGGATCTGAAATATGAGGATATTCATTATAATTTTTATATGAAGGATTCCAAAAATTACAGATTCAAAAGATATGTAAAAATTTAAGGTTTTAGTTTTGGAATCTAAAAATTTTAGAATACGTTCTATCTCTAAAATACACTAACCCACAGAAAAGAAAGTCTTGAATCATCCTGATTACTGCTACCCGAAACTTCAGTACTTCGAATCGCTTGTTCTCCTTTCTGTAAGCTAAATTAAGCCTCTCTAAAATGTTCTTAATTTACGCGTAGTTGATTGTGTTCTTTGACTTACATAATATAAAAAACTAATGAAGTATAAAAACAATTTTAAAAATGTATTAAATATAATTCAAAAGAATATGTACAACATACAGTTTGCCCGTAATATTTTGCCCTTCCATGGCGATACTTTTCGTCAAGCCGATTTTTTTATAAGCAGACGATATTATACATCCAAACATCTGATAATCTTCTAAATCGCTTATATTTTATTGCTACTCTTTATTTTACATCAATAAAAATAATATCTTATATTATTTTAATTAGGTAAAAAAAGATTACATGTATCCTAAAAACAACACGATTGCTGAAAATTTGATGCCGCTCAATGCACGCTTGGAGAGTCTCCGCGCCTTTTTGGTACATTTTTGAACAAAAATTTTCTTTATTGAAAATCAGTTTTATCAAATACAAATTAACCATTATTATCTATGGCCTTTTAGCCATTTTTCAAGTAACTTCATGATTCCATCGGTATAGAACTCCTGTGGTTTATCGTCGAAAAACTTGGTCAAGTGATTTTCAGCGGTGCTTGGGTCGGCCAATTTTTTACCATCAAGAGAGTTTTGCAGAGATCGAAACAAATGGTAGTCAGATAGAGCAAGATCCGGGCTATACAGCGGCTGCATCAAAACTTCCCATCCAAACTCCGTAAATTTGCTCCAAGTCATCAAAGATGTGTGTGGCCGCGCATTGTAGGATGGAACACAACCCCCTTTCTGTTGGCCAATTCTGGTCGCTCTTTCTGGAGTGCTTCGTTCAGACAGTCGAGTTGTGCACAGAACAGAGCCAAATTGATGGTTTCGCCAGGTTGCAGCAGCTCATAATGGACAATTCCTATCCAATCTCACCAAACACTCAACATAACCTTATTTGGCGACAATCCAGGCTTCGAAGTCGTTTGTGGAGGGTCACTGGTCTTTGACCATGATAGCTTGCGTTTGATATTCTCGTTATTTCACTCATTTTTCATCGTCTGTAATGATGATTCGCTTCAAAAATGGTTGGATTTCGTTGCGTTTCAGCAGCATTTCACTGTTGGTAATTCGTTCAATCAAATTTCTTTGCGTTAATTCATGTGGCACCCAAACATCGAGCTTCTTTTTGCAGCTTGCTCTTTTCAAATGATTCCAAACTGTCGGATGGTTGATATTTAGTGCCTCCGCTATTTCCTGACAGCTTGCGTGCCGGTCTTGCTCCACCAGTTGCAAAATTTCATCAACTTTTTCAGTGGACCAGAGCGAGGTGCATTTTTGATATTGAAATTTCCGGAACGGAATCGAGCAAACCACTCCTGGCTCCTTTGTTTACTCACAGCATTCTCAAAGTACACTTCACAAATTTTTCGGCATGCTTTTGCAGCGTTTTTATCTTTTTTATAGTAAAAAAGCATCACATAGCGTATTTCTTCAGATATTTCACTCATTTTCAAATTCATATAACTTTTTACACGAGCAACGAATTAAAAACCTATCTTCACAAACAATGGAAGCTGAGTGTCACCTTTTAAGCATATGTTCGTTTGAGACAATCGGATGAGTGTCGCCGGATATATCGGCATCAACTCCATCCAGGGGCAAAAAGCGTGGAGACTTTTTACGTGAACCAATATTTATTTGAAATAAATAACTTAATAATCAGCCTTTCTTTCATCACATTTTTCTGACTTTGAATAAAATTCAAAGTTCAATGATTTCAGTTCACTGATTTTATATTAAAATAATACACATTTAGAGTTTGACTTATTTTGGTACCATAAACTAGTATCGAACTCCTAACCCATTTGGAGTGAATTATTGCTGTCTGAAGACACTTGAGAAGGTTAAAACAACATTTTTTACTTAAATCAGAACTTGCACATAAAACGCACTTTTCGTGCTTGACAAAATCAACCACTACTCGTGGCGATGTAACTTAAAGTAACAGTCAATTTCAGAATTTAAAATAAGCCTGTTGTCGAAAGCTGTGACATTTACCTTAAACTGGCTCAGAACTTTTCAACGGCGTAACAATTAAATGTCGGAAGCAACAACACAAAGCCGAAGAATTGCAATTTTATAAGAGCTGGCTAAACCTAATAATGTGGCCTCGAGAAGCAGAAACAAGCTTTGTCTTACAAACCCAAAACCCTCGATTTAAATACTACTCTCTAACTGATTTACATTTCTGGTGAGAAAACTGAAAAGCAGAAGTTAAAGTAAAAATCTAAATCATGAATAACTGGTCAATGCAAAATAATAGTAACCACGGACAATAATGTGACATATTCTGGAAATACTATAATGGGATGAAAAAGCAGATCATAGTTCTGAAAGGGTGGATGAATGGTATTCTATACTACAAAGCTTTACAAAGGGTTGGCAAATGAGAAAATGTTAGGGAACTGTTGGTCTAACTTCACAAAATAATTTGCGCACATATGAAAAATAAATGGAAAGTACATCTAGAATATAACGATGATTCATTGGAAATACGAGTCACATTTCCGGGAAGCCCAATGTACTTTACGTGAATCAGTCACAATAGGAAACAGATCTTTCATTTCCTGGAAGATAAGCGAAATGTTCTTAACAAAAATGAAAGTGAAACAATATAATCAAGTTTTAAACCAATGGAAACTTTAATAAGTATTTCACCTAACAAAAGTAATTTTAAATGCGCTATTGCTACTGATTGAATGGAGAGACAAAATAACAATGAAACCATATTTTAAAATATTTTTACTTCCTTGTAAGAACTAAAGGAAGTACTGGAATCGCAAAAAATGTGGGTATCACATTTCAAAGAAAATATTCATTTTGACCGTTCCCGAACCCATTTGGATGTTTTTTTTTGTTTTTTTTTTGC